TATACAAATTATAAAAGTTAAAGTGTATAGAATGTGGTAAAATGGCACTTAAAGCTGGAAAACTGTGTATCTGAAAAGAGAGAAGATTTCTTTGTACAAAATAATATATATGATCCATTAAAACTCCATTAATTAGTAGCATTTACTAATAAAACCGCCTCCCACCCCTCCCTGCGTACTAATAGTTCGTCTTCCACCCCTCCCCCAGTAACAACAGTTGGCCTCTCACCCCTCCCTGAGTACTAATAGACTGCATCCCAACCCCTCCCTAAGTACTAATGGCAACCTCCCCCTGATAAAATAGTAACCAAAAAATTGGTACAAAAACTGATCCAGTAAAAATGTTTCAAAAAAATGGTCCAAAAAGAGTCCAATAAACCAAGGGTCCAATGCCTTGGTGAGGAACGACTGTTAATTGTTGCCCAGTGATTGGCAGCAAGATAACGTGATTTTATTGTGGTGATCGGAACAACTGTTCCATTGTCGCCTGATGATTGACAGCAATATTGCGTGTTTTATCATTGTTGTCTAGTGATTGACCGCAAAATAGTGTGATTTTAACATAGAGAGAGACAACTGTTCAAAGTTGCCTAGTTACTGATACTGAATGACAGCAATATGGCATGATTTTGCGTCATAAACAATCGACTTTCAGGTACTTCTAAAACAAGAGCAACACACTGGCCTCAGTTCAAACAAGTGCACCTGCTTCCACAGCTCTTCGTACTGCTGTTTCTTTGAGTCTGCTGGGGATACGCCTCCATTTTGCAGTTTGTGACCCCCAAGGAAATTTAGAGCCCTTCAAAATGAAGCTGTGGTTAATTGCTGCCATTACTCTCTCTTTTGGAGTTCAAGTCGGTACGTGATTACAGTTTATCACATTATGTTTTTATGTGCGTACCCTTTCTGTCTGCATTTCTCTATTTTTGCGCCTACTTGCCATTCACAATCCGTAATTTTCGTAATGCCTTGGGCAAATTGCGTTATATCTTTTGAAACATTTCACTTCAAGTTTAGGGAAAAACTCGGAGAGATTTGAAAAATGAAGCGAACTTCGGTCGGAGTAAATTGCTTTTGCGAGGGAAGATTTTACATTTGTTTTTTTTCAGTTTTATCATGTTTCTTTTTATCGCGTCAGCCATGAGTATGATAATTCAGTAATATCAGTCGGCGCCTTCCGGAGATGCCGCCGGCGGACATGGTTAAAACCTACATTTTATTTTCATTTTGATTTCGTGGGTCGCTCAAAACAGTAAGTAACAGTAATTAAACAAACACGCATTATTTTTCAAGATTAAACATACTATTGTATCGCTTAAAAATCTCTAGGTGCAACCACCGCTTCTAGAAATAATCCTTTGCTGCTTGTGTCACCTGACCAAGGTTGAAGCGCATCGGGGCCTATCCGCATTAGCTTTTAAAATGTTATTTATGAAACAAGCTCTCTGTCATCACTTTCACTTAACAAGAGCGGATGGTTTGGTTCTCGCTTCGTAAGTAGACAGCTTTCAGCACCGGTACACTATGGTCACCTGATCGCGCCTTCGAGTGACACTTCTGGCTGCTTCTTTGGATAAACGTTTGTCGCGTCTTGAAAAATCTTCACCGAAGCTGAATAATTCTAAAACGCGCTGCCTACAAGCGTCATTCCAAGAATACAAACTGAAAAAAATCAACTGAAAAAATAATGCTAATCTTTTCAATCATTTCTCGCAAAAGCTATAACTAGCCTGATAATTGAAATGAGTTCAATTTGCCTTATGGAGCATAGTTTTTCAGCAAATTATCCTCAGTCGTGCAGTAAGTCAAGGGAAACTCTCAGGGTCTAAAATAACTGAGGAGAATGTGTTGCCTATACTATGACATTCGTAAATGATTATAGACATTCTAGTATTCTTGGATAAGGACAATAAACAGTAGGTCCCGTCTCCTTCATCTTCTCTGTACTAGTTAGCGGGGGACGTTCAAGAATCCACGCACTTTTCGCAAAAAGAAGGGAAAGTACCTCCCAGTGTCGTGGTCCAAGCACACCATAGGCAGCATTTTGTCAAGGATCTGATTGAGACTTTTTTAAAAGTCAAGAGACACACCTCAAGAAGAAGCATGTGGAGGTGTTACAGTTGTATACAGAGAAAAAAATATCGGGATAAATTTATGCCTTTAATCCCAGTGTTTGCCCGCCCGTGCGGACAAGGCATTGGTTTTCAAACTTAAAGCTTTCGTATAACAACACACTCGGCTGAGTCTCGTGCGCCACTGTTTCATTCTTATCACATTTTGACGACGTTTGTGATATTTTACAGAACAGATGTACAGCAACATAGAATGAATGTTAAATGAATGGTTAAGTTTTATTAATGCATTTCTCACTGTTTTTTTGTTTTCTTTATTCAGTGTTGAGCTTGAAGTGTTTGTCCTGCACCAGTGAGAAGTCATGGGATGACTGTAAAGGAAAAAGCATCTCCTGCAAGGCTCCGGCTACCGATGCATGTATTAAGATTTACTTGAAATCTGGTTCAAGGGAATTATTTGCAAGAGGTTGCAGTACCAATGCTGGCTGTGACACGGAAACCAACCCTCTTTGTAAAGACGCCAACGAGTGTGACATCTATTGCTGCAACGGTGACGACTGCAATGCTGGCACAGCAACCCACACCAGCGGTGTTCTGTTGCTGTCATGCGCCCTGGCCTCTCTTGTGATCTTTTTCAAAGCTTAATTTGAGGTCATGTACGGCTAATGAGCAGTGCTGTAACTAAGTATAACACTTTTGTAATGTAATGAATGTCACACTAAGCATGGGGACAATGATGTTTGTGTTGTTATACGAAAGTAGACAATTGCTTTGAATAGCTAGGATATGTAGTTGAGTAGATTTACTTGTTGGTCTGCTAAAGAGTATAAAGCAATTTTTTTTTTCGTTTAGTGTGTAACAGTTGTAGAAGTATAGGAGCGTTAGTAATTCCTTTAAATCATGCAGCGCTGAAAATATAATTATGCCTTTCTTCACCTTTGCTGTATGGTTCTCTGCGTTTGTCTATACTGAATACGGCTAATGGTTAACGGTTTACGGCTAACAAAAGCTCTGTTGACATGGGCTACTTATTAGCCTCAAAAGAGCAAAAAATAAAACTCTTGAGACCACCCTGAAGGCTCCTTTGCCCGCATTTGATCAGTGGAGGAAGCTGTAATACATTTACAAGTCGGGGAACTGATTGTCCCTTTCCTAGTCGGATTTCTACCCTGGAGTCAGCTGAGACTACATAATAGAGGTCGAATTGACCTCAAGTCTTTGGTATAGGTAATAAAATGATATCGATTGCAATTTTTATAGGTAATAACATGATTTCGAGTTGTAGAATGTTTCTTTTCAAGCTAGAGTTGAAAACTCGATTCCCGAGTTGATACACTCGCATGCGATGAACACCAAGCCAATACTAGGATCTTTTTTTTCTTCATTCCTTTTCCTATTCCTTAGGGCGTTCTTATATCGAAGCGGTCAACTGCAATCAATACTTGAAGGAATTACTTAAGTATTGTGCGATCATAGCTTAATCTCGCAAATTACATTTTTTTCATTCCGTTTCGTTTCGCAAATTATAGTAAGCCCTCTTAGAGACAATGACCAAAAGATTTCTATATTTCGCAATGACTCGAGAGAACACGAAATCTCTTTCTAATTTCTGAAACAGTCAAAGTTGATAAGTGTCAGCTAACTGCAGGCCAGATCAAAATATTATGCCAAAACCGAACTATACAAATAAAGTTAAAGTGCGTAGGCTGTGGGCAAATGGCACTTTAAGCTGGAAAACTGTGTATCTGAAAAGAGAGAAGATTTCTTTGTACAAAATAATTTTTATGATCCATTAAAACTCCATTAATTAATAGCATTTACTAATAAAACCACCTCCCAACCTCCTTGCGTACTAGCAGTTCGTCTTTCACCCCTCCCCCAGTAACAACAGTTGGCCTCTTACTAGGCTTGAGTCGATTGTGCCCGTAAAACTGGCATATTATGCTCCTCACACTGCTCAAAATTTCTGAAATTTATGCTCGAGTTATGCTCGTTTCTCTAAATTAAACACAAACAAACAGCAACTGATTACTTATCTGATGACTGCAGCCCATCATTTTAATAAACCAATTATCAAAGAATGTGTCGTTACAAGTATCCCCTGCATTTGTTCCTCAGACTGATAAACATACTCATCATTTTTCAATCGATGGAGCTTCTTAGGTCAAAGTAAGGAGTAATACAAATTCTACCGGAGCATGGTCTTGCGAGTCGTTGAAAGAGGAGTTAATTTTTAAGAATACTCTTTCTGCAGCAGCAGATGAGGGTTGTATACTAGGAGAACCTTCCTGACTGCAGACGGCCAATGTGGCAATCGATCTGAGTGCTGTCGTCACCACTTCACTTTGTCTTTTTCGCAGGCCATTATGAAATAATCGAGGCCGTGTACAGTTGCTGGCGTAGGTTGCAGCCATTGCGTAGCTTCCAGGCACATTATTCTAGCAGCCTTGAATGCGCTCAACTTGTTATACAAATCTGAATTGAATTTTCGCAAAAACCACTGAATTCCAGGCTCGACACTCCTTTTGGCTTCCTGTTCCAGTGCTGCAACATTTTTTGTAGGATCTCTAGCCGCTATAGCGACAGCTACTGCGTGGACATTTCGGAAATGTGGCACCTGACATTCGCGGCCGTTTGTAATCTCTCGAAGCACGAGAAGACTAGTGAGCCATCTCCCTCTAAAACGTAAGTGGCTTTGACGAGCGGTTCACCCACACCAACGATGGCTGCTAGCTCAAGCTTAAGGCTCAGAACTTTATCTGGATCAGACAGGAAGTCGACCAGTTGACGTGAAATTTGGGGAGCAACGTTTTCTCTTCCAGCATTAGCCACGAATTCTTGTAAGTCACCAAACTGCTCCATGAGTTGTTTGTAGACTTCCCACTTCGACCACCTTGAGTCTCGGAGTAACTCTTCGATTTAAGTCCGGTGTTGTTCCTGCCACATAAGCCTCGCTCTGTGGCTATGCCCAAATAGGCGGATCCACAGCTTGCCAAATTCAGTTCGGAATAACAAAGTGATTACCGATATTGTCCAGATTGTAAGAAAAACAAACCACATTGAATGTTTTAGGGAATATGAAATGGATGCGATTTAAGGCTGCTTGGTTTACGCTGGCGCCGTCTCTCATGGCCGCTATCAATGAATCTGCTCTCACACCATAGTCGACAGATAAACATTCGTTGAGAACTTGGGCAAACTCGTCACCCTTTACTGATTTGACACAAACATCAATTCTGATCAGTCGTTGCACAATACACCAATTATCGTTGACAAAACGGACCACGATCACGATCGCCTCCCTGTCTCGTGCTTCTATCAAAGGAAATGGAAAGATCCCTTGTAAATTCCCCGCCACTGCCATCAAATGGTTCTCGGCGAATTTCCGCTTTAATCCTCTGTATCTCTTGCTTGTATATCATTGGAATGTACTCCTTCGTGTTAGAATTATGACTAAGACGATAGCCTTACTTTTTAAGGAGGGGTCGGAGTTTGTCTATCTTTCGTAAAGGGATTCCAGCTTTAGGAAACTCCTCTACCACCTGTAAACGGTATGCTCTCTCCTCAACTGGCAACGTCCTTGCTCTGTGTATTCATGACCAGAAATCGTATACAGTCAGCGGCTTGAACGGCAGGCGCGTAAATTTCGGACGGACGGACGAAGGAAAAATCGTTCGAAGGGGTATTACAGCAGCTTAAATGCTCTTGGTTCTGCAGATTTCATGAAGAGTAGATCGAAAATAGGGGGCTCTTTGTACGACATTGCTTGAAGAACTAAAAGTGTTCGACAAGGATCCGTTCCACGAGGAGGACGCCATCTTTTATCTTGGATCTCAGTCAACTCGCCAGCGAGTCGTACGAGTAGGGCCTGAAACCAAGAAACGTTACAACGACCGCAGTGAATCCATTGTAGGCGCAATCCATTATTAGCAGGAAACATTCCAGAAACACGATTCAGTCAAGAGAAGTATATTCAATACAAAATTACGAAAATTGTTCACATCGTGGAAGTAAAAAAGCATATTATGTCAGCAGTGCTTTTCTTTAAAAAAAGTTTTAAATTATGCTCATTTTGCCAAATTATGCTCAAAATTATGCCGGTACAATCGACTCAAGCCTACCTCGTACCCATCCCTGAGTACTGATAGACTGCATCCCACCCCTCCCTAAGTACTTATGGTCTACCTCCCCCCGATAAAATGGTCCCAAAAAGATGGCCAAGAAATTTGTCCAAGAACTGATCAAAAAAGGGTCCAAAAACTGGTCCAAAAAATGGTCCAAAAACAGTCCAATAGTCCAAGGGTCTAATAGTCCGGTCCAAATTTACACTATCAGGTACCTTGGGCGAGACTTAAATGAATTTCCGCCCAACGGGAGGGAGCTTGTGGTCATTCATCTGATGTGGCTGTCAACTGAAATCAGAACACTCGTGCCTCTTGTCTCCACGAAACAAGATGGTTACCTTTCTCAACCGGCCGGCGTTTCATCTGACAGGTTTTCCTCCTTCAAACGATCCAAGTATGGTGAATTTCCTACCTTTCTACCTTGTGAATGCAAAGGACTTAGCCCTATAAAAAACAATGTTTATATCTCCCGGCATGTCACTTAAATAGAGTTATTCGCGTGTTTCACATTACTGTAACGAGCTATAATTGTACTCGTTAAATAACCAATCATTTGAAGTCGCTTAACGACTTCTGTCACCAAAATACCCTCAAAAATGTTAAGCGGGGCAACCAACGTCGTGAAAACACAAAAGGTAAATGTGCTGAGGAGCAATTGTTCATTATTGCTAAGTGATTGACAGCATTATAGCGTGAGTCTACCCTGGCAAGGAAAGACTGTTAACCCTTTAACTCCCATGAGTGACCAAGACAGAATTTCTCCTTACAATATCAACACAGAATCAAGCAGATAAGTGAGGAGAATGAAGAAGAAAACTCAATTAAGGGACTACAAGTTGATTTAATACCAAATTCTTCAAGTTGAAATCGTAAGTATTTTATGGCAGACAGTAAGGAGAATTACTAATGAGGTCTTGGGAGTTAAAGGGTTAATTGTTACCCAGTGATTGAAAGCAGGATAGCGTGATTTTATGTGATGAGGAACAACTGATCCATTGCTGCGTGGTGATTGACAGTAATGTAGCGTGATTTTATCATTTGTGCTTAGTGATTAAAAGCAAAATAGCGTGATTTGAACATGGAGAGAAACAATTGTTTAAAGTTGCCTAGTTACTGATATTGACTGACAGCAATATGGCATGATTTTGCGTCACAAACAGTCGAATTTCAGGTACTTTTAAAACAACAGCAACACACCGGCCCCAGTTCAAACAAGTGCACCTGCTTCCACAGCTCTTCGTACTGCTGTTTCTTCGAGTCTGCTGGGGATACGCCTTCATTTTGCAGTTTGTACCCCCAAAGAAACATAGAGCCCTTCAAAATGAAGCTGTGGTTAATTGCTGCCATTATTCTCTCTATTGGAGTTCAAGCCGGTACGTGATTTCAGTTTATCACATTATGTTTTTATGTGCATACCCTTTCTGTCTGCATTTCTCTATTTTTGCGCCTACTCGCCATTTACAATCCGTAATTTTCGTAATGCCTTGCGCAAATTGCGTTTTATCTTTTGAAACATTTCGTTTCAAGTTAAGAGAAAATTTCGGCGAGATTTGAAAAATGAAGCGAACTTCGGTCGGAGTAAATTGCTTTTGCGAGGGAAGATTTTACATTTGTTTTTTTTCAGTTTTATCATGTTCCTTTTGTCGCTTCAGCCATGAGTATGATAATTCAGTAACATCAGTCGGCGCCTTCCGGAGATGCCACCGGCGGACATGGTTGAAACCTACATTTTATTTTCATTTTGAAATCATGGGTCGCTCAAAACAGTAAGGAACAAGACACTTTTTAAAAATCTTCATCATTCGAACTGAAAACAAACACTTGCATTATTTTTCAAGATTAAATATACTACTGAATTGCTTAAAAATTTCAAGGTGCAACCACCGCTTCTAGAAATAATCCTTTGCTGCTTGTGTTACCTGACAAGAGTGGATGGTTTGTTTCCCACCTCGTAGGCAGACAGCTTTCAGTACAGGTACACTTTAGTCACCTGGCCGCACCTTCGAGCCTGAGTGACACTTCTGGCTGCAACTTTGGGTAAACATTTGTCGCGACTTGAAAATTTTCCACCGAAGCTGAATAATCCTAAAACGCGCCGCCTACAAGTTTCATCCTAAGAATACAAACTGAAAAAAATCAACTAAAAAAATAAGGCTAATCTTTTCAATCATTTCTCGAAAAAGCTATAACCAGCCTGATAATTGAAATGAGTTCAATTTACCCCTCCGGAGCATAATTTTTCAGCAAATTATCCTCAGTCGTGCAGAAGGTCAAGGGAAACTCTCAGGGTCTAAAATAACTGAGGAGAATGTGTTGCCTGTGCTATGACATTCGCAAATGATTATAGACATTCTAGTATTCTTGGATAAGGACGATAAACAGTAGGTCCCGTCTCCTTCATCTTCTCTGTACTAGTTAGCGGGGGACGTTAAAGAATCCACGCACTTTTCGCAAAAAGAAGGGAAAGTACCTCCCAGTGTCGTGATCTAAGCACACCATAGGCAGTATTTTGTCAAGGATCTGAGTGAGACTTTTTAAAAGTCAAAAGACACACTTCAAGAAGAAGCATGTGGAGGTGTTACAGTAGTATACACAGAAAAAAAAAGCTCACAATGATGTACGATATCACTCCTTTTTTCGGGTGTTGGCAGAATTTGATAATATTAACCGTAGATACATAAATAAGCTAAAAATATCGGATAAATTTATGCTTTTAATCCGAGTGTTTGCCCGCCCGTGCGGACAGGGCATCGGTTTTTAAACTTAAAGCTTTCGTATAACGACACACTCGGCTGAGCGTTGTGCGTTACTTTTCCATTCTTATCACATTTTGACGACATCTGTGATTTATTACTGAACACATGCACAGCAACATAGAATAAATTTGTTAAGTAAATGATTAAGTTTTATTAATGCATTTTCACTGTTTTTTTTTCAGTGTTGAGCTTGAAGTGTTTGTCCTGCTTAAGTGACAAGTCATGGGATGACTGTAAAGGAAAAAGCAAGTCCTGCGTGGCTCCGGTTACCGATGATTGTATTAAGATGTACTTGAAATCTAGTTCAGAGGAATTATTCATGAGAGGTTGCAGTACCAATGATAACTGTGACACGAACATCAACGCTCTTTGTAGAGACGCCTACGAGTGTGACATCTATTGCTGTAACGGAGACGACTGCAATGCTAGCACAGCAACCCACATCAGCGGTGTTCTGTTACTGTCATGCGCCCTGGCATCTCTTTCGATCTTTTTCAAAGCCTGATTTGAGGTCACGTACGGCTTATGAGAAGTGCTGTAACTAAGTATACCGCTTTTGTAACGTAACGAATGCAAAACTAAGCCTGGGTACAGTAATGTTTATGTAGACAATTGCTTTGAATAGCTAGGATATGTAGTTGAGAAGATTTACTTGTTGGTCTGCTAAAGAGCATAAAGCAATTTTTTTTTCGTTTTGTGTGCAGCAGTGGTAGAAGTATAGGAACGTTTGTAATTTCTTTAAATGATGCAGCACTGAAAATATAATCATACCTTTTTTACCTTTACTGTACGGTTCTCTGAGTTGTGTACACTGAATACGGGGCCGTCAACGGGGTGATGGCTTTCACGGCTTACGGTTAAAATTTTGGCCATTTTAATTCTTTTCTATTACGGTACTCTCCAAATGACACATCAAAGATGTAGACATCGTAGACTTTTTTTAACGACTAACGGCTAAAAATTTGTCCATTTTTACGCCTAACGGAAATAATCCCATTGAGACCCTCATAATAGCGTTATTAATATTTTTTTGTGAATTTCCCTAAAAGCCTTTTAAATGCTAAGTTTTTCTCCAACCTTTGTTCTGTGGGGAATAAGTAAAGAACCCACACTGTCGCTTTTCTAATTTCTCAGATCCTCTCGCGGACGCAACAAAGATATATCCCAGACTGACAAAAACTACAATCCATTGTTATCTTATCTTATGGACACACCTTGATCAAACGTAAGCTGATTGGCTATAAAGATCTTTCAGACAAAAGAGAAACAAGCTTATTCATTAGAGTAGACAGAACGTGACGCTCGATTTCTGGGCCGATATTTCACAATCATTACATCAACATGAGCTTAAATCACTACTAAGTAACCTATTTCCGACAGTCCCCTCTCTTCTTTTATAGGTACGTATTTTCTCGTTCCGATCGCTTTAGGAATGCCCTCAATACCAGTTTTCATCAGTATTAGGCGAAGTTGCCAATTCGCAGAGGCCTGTCCGCCACCTCAGAAACAAAAGATGACGAATGTGAATTTCTATGAACATAGAAAACTGTTCATTGCAAGAAAGACCGCACCGTTATTTTGTTCTTTTTGAAATAATTGTTTCAGAAACGACAACACTAAAACATTGAATTTGAAAATCTCATAATGGCTTCTTAGCTTCTATAAACTGTTGGAATCTCAGTGGACGTTAAATACTTCCAGTGGAACCAAATTTGAAAGTTAGAACTCTCTGCTTTCTCAGAAACAAGGTCTGCCCCGGTTCATGCTAATCAGTTTCGGGTCTGGAAATTGGTCCGGAACAATCCCAATTTTAAGGCAAGAGCAATTTTGTAGAGGTGAACCTTTTCATGATACTAGTTCAGCGTATGTCTGAAGAGTTACTGGGGTTAGAACTTACCTCTTCCAATCTGTGACCAGATGGGCGTGGTTGTCATGAATGAAATTTCAATGGCTTCATTTGTTATCAAACTCAAAACAGACACTGATCCTGGAAAACCGAATCAGAAAGCTCTATTGACATGGGCAACTTACTTGCCTCAAAAGAGCAGAAAATAAAACTCTTGAGACCATCCTGAAGGCTCCTTTTCCGGTATTTGATTAGTGGAGGAAGCTGTAACACATCTGCAAGCAGGGACAGATCGTTCCTTTCGATTCGCAAGTCTACCCTGGAGTCAGCTTACCGGCCGCAAAATGGAGGTCGAATTGACGTTAAGACTTGGTATAGGTAATAATATGATATCGATTGCAATTTTCATCGGTAATAACATTATTTCGAGTTGTAAATGTTTCTTTTCAAGATAGAGTTGAAAACTCGATTCCCAGGTTGATACACGCGTATGCCATAAACTCCAAACCAATGTATAGAATCTTTTTTTTCTTTATTCCATTTCCTATTCTTTGGGGCGTTCTGATATCGAAGCGGTCAAATGAAATCATTACTCGAGGGAATTATCTAAGTAGTGTGTGATCACAGCTTAAGAATAATGTAAATTTTGGAAACGAGCACGTGGCAATTAAAAGAGCCAAAAAAAGCGATAAGCTTCGCTTTGAAGAAGAAATACGAGCTAGATAACACAATCACAAAACAAGTTATTGCTTACCAACGTTTGCGGGTCTTGATTATTTCATCGAGGATTACGGTCTAACCTGTCTTACATTCAAAAAACGATCTTGACCACACGGGGTCTTAATATCCTGAACTGAAACGCTATAATTTTCTGTCCAAAAAGAACTTGTCACGGAGGCGTCAGTCTAAACAAGAAAATATTTCGCAGCTTCTCTCGTAAGCGGTAACATTTAGCTTTGACTGAAGCGGTTACACGAGTGCGATGTGGCGTTAATAAGCACGAGGTAATTTTTTTCAAAGACAACAAAATTGCAAGAACCCTTTACAAGACTGGTACCCCATTCACCGCAGGAAAAAATATTTAGTTAAACCTGATTTAACTGTATGAAAATCAGAAACAGAGAACTGAAAACTGAATTTTCCATAGGATTTTAGTAATCACTAACTTGTATTTTCAGTGTGTTACATGTGAAGTCGACAAACAGTAGTTGAAATATCTCCTAGGAAGAATGAAATTTTAAATGTGTGAACGAACAGCTTTTAATGGGTTTTAAACAAAGGCCAAATTAGAATCTTCACGTGTAGCAACTCCAGTCCCAGATTATCAGGCAAGCGAATAAAAGTTTTATTTGATAAGTTTCCCCGACTGACTCATAATCCTGGCCATCGCTTTGACTTTCAACTTCACTTTGTTTACATGAAAATATTTTGGAACTACTCCTGCACATAACCAACACAATTCAAAGCCATTTCGAAGTCAGTCATTATTCGGGAACACGAAAACTGTTAAGACATTTGAACAGTTTCAAAGATCAGAATTATTTGTTTTTATTCGGCTATAAATCAGTTGGAATAAGATAAGTCGTTGTGATGTAATATTTTTTTCGTGCAAAACAGCGTGCTACCTAATAGCGAAGCTGTTGTAGGTTCAGTTTGCACTCAATTGAACCAATGAAATAAACGTAAATGCAAATATGTACATAACACTGTAAACAACTTTTATGAACCGACTTCAAGTCGGTTGTCGGCGACAACTATTTCAAAAGATGTTGAAGCCAAACTATTGCGACTTGAAACCAAAAGGATACCATCATCTTAAGTCATTGTTCGTATTATTAGCGAACAAAATACGATGCCAGACTTTATATTCCCTAGCTGGTTTCAGGGGACGTTGTCAAAGTGAATTTTGTTGCAAATCGTTGAATACTAAAAAGATGTTTGCGAAAAAAGGAAGCCATTGTAGTTAAGATGACTGTAAACTATGTCAATTTAACTTAAAAATCTCCACTTCGACTGAAAATCATTATGAAACATTTCATTTTCTTTTTAATTTCTGAATGATCCAACTGTTGTGTAATCTGCTGAGTAAACACCTACTCTGACAATCTTTAGTTACCCTGCAGCCAAAACTGCTGTTTACTGGTTTTTTTTTTTTTTGTTGTTTTCGTCGAAAAGCAAAAAATTTATTCATTTTGTAGACTAATGGACATTGTACGAGAGAAAAAAACTTGCAACGCCTTTCGCGACGTGCAGGGTTTAAAAGTTGTTATTTGACCGTATGTGTTAGCTGCCTGGGAAACGACCTTAACTTTAAATAATAATCCGGCTTTATTACACTTGTCCTGACCGTGCATCATAACAACATTAATAAAGAATGAGGCGTTGAAAATAACAACTTCAAAAAAAAAGTGCTAAGAAAAAGAATGTAGAATCACTTCACCCTCCACCTTATCAGATGTAAAATTCCGTTTGAAAAGGAACAATCCGCAAATTTTCCAAGAATTGTTTCACGATGTTTGTGTGTCAACCGAACTAGAAAGACCCATTCAATAAAAAGCGGTAACATCAAAGAGATAAAACTAGAATATAAAAAGATTTGGCTGAAAAAATATTCAGTGGAAGGGCATATATTGAGAAATTTAGTCTCTGAAAATTCTCACACTATTTTGGAAGCTATCAGGAAATGCAGCTTTTTTTTTTTTTTTTCCATCTAGAAGGGTAGACTTGAAACATGAATTAATATATTGTATGATGTCCCGTGGATTCACACAACAACAGGTCAGATAAAGAATGAGAGAAAAGAACATCAATCAACTTGCACAGGACGAAATCACATGTTTCCGTTTTTCTGAAACGTGGCGGAATGTTTGACATGCACAAAAAGTGGTCCGGTTCCGTTGTATACGCAGCAACGGAAACGCGAGAAAACGTCACGAAACCGGTAACGGAAACACAGGTTATCCGTCGTGTTTCCAGAACGGTTTAACATGTTTCTGCCACGTTTCCGTTTACGGATTCTTGCAATTTCGTCCTGTGTTGACTCCTCATGCTCACTGTTTCTGTTTAGAACTCGGAAAATATATGAAAAACTAATTGCTTTTTTAATAATATTTATTTTATCACCATACGTTAAGTAATCAATTCTTGTTTCCAATGACGTCGAAACGACCTTTGGTAATACATTTCTTTTTAGCTACTTGCAATGTTGCCCCATGGCCATCCCAGAAATCCCGATTACCGGCAACTCTCAGGCAGCACCGGCGTTTGTGACAAGACCCTACTCCCCGCCGCCACCACTATACTTAAAATCTCGCCTGTGATGCCTAAAAGGCATTCACATGCAGACTATTTCTGTAATTACTCCTTTCCGTGCCCGTGTTTAAATTTCATGTAGCATCATTGAGGTCGTTATTGTCTTGCTTAGTTTTCGTTTTCTACTTCTTTCAAATGTAAATCTCGTTATAATAATTAACAAGTGAGGCAGGGGGGAAAAACCGTATAGAATAAAAAAACATCTGTCCCCATTGAAAACAGTTAGTTTTGTTTTCCTAAGAGTATCGATGTTTCTAGAGAGTTTCAATGTTTCCCGGGAGTTCTGGTGTTTACCGAGAGTCCCGACCTTTCCCAGGAGTCTCGATGTTTCCAGAGAGTTTCGATCTTTCCCGGGAGTTCCAGGGTTTAACGAGAGTCTCGACCTTTCCCAAGAGTCTCGATGTTTCAAGAGAGTTTCGATCTTTCCGGGAGTTCCGGTGTTTACCGAGAGTCTCGACCTTTCCAAAGAGTCTCGATGTTTTCAGATAGTTTCGATGTTTCCCGGGAATTCCGGTGTTTACCGAGAGTCTCGACCTCTCCCAAGAGTCTCGACCTTTCCCAAGAGTCTCGACCTTTCCCAAGAGTCTCGATGTTTCGAGAGAGTTTCGATGTTTCCCGGGAGTTCCGATGTTTACCGAGAGTCTCGACCTTTTCTAAGAGTCTCGATGTTTCCCGAGACGAAGTGGAGGAAAACATTAGAGATTTAAGCAAACTACGACGGCAACAGCAACAAGGACTCAGCAAAACAAAGATCTAATGAGCAGAACAAGAGCTCAGCGCGAGCGCTTTAAAACATCGTGCATTTCGTAGTCGTCCCCCGCAAAATAACAACGTGAAATCACCAAAATTTGCATGGTCTGAGAGAAGAAACACCTGACGGGAAAACCCGAAACCCATGTTTAACTTTATTTCTTGTACAGCAGTATTTCCGGTGTCGTTTTGCTGCAGCAGGCATTTAATTTCGTCTTTTCATAAAGCAAGATAGCGCTTTTCTTTTAGCTACAGGCTCTTACATTGTGTTTTCAAAGAACTAGGGAAGAACTGGCGACAAATAAGCCTCGAAAATATCACGCCAAAATCATACCACTGGCCTCAGTCACGTTCTGATCTCGTGAAAAACCTGAGCATTCAGGGATACATTTGAATTTATGCAAAACACAACTCCCCTATCTAGAACGAGGGTAACAAACTATTGTTCAATGTTTATTGTTGCCTAGTTACTGAGACTGACTGACAGTAACATAGCGTGTTTTTTATTTAATTATGAATAATTGACAAAGGGTGCGTCTAACACAGAGTTGCAAGTACTTAAGGAGTGCGCCAGCTCTCATTGCCTCAAGTTCAGCCCGCTCGTCGACGCTTTGTGACTACGCCTCCAATTTTCAGTTCTTGAATCTCAAGGAAACATCAAGCTCTTCAAGATGAAGCTGTGGTTTGTTGCTGCCATACTTATCTCCGTTGCGTTTCCATCCGGTAAGTGATTTCATCGCAAAATGCATTTTTTATCCACATCCTTTCGGAATGCAGCGAGCAACTGTAAGGCGAAGCCATCGTCGAAAAAAATGTTAGATTCGCCACCAGTGCAGTAAAACAGAGAGTAAAATTTTGTTACATATCAATTTATCGCAATTGAAATGAAAATGTCGGAGTCACTAAGATCGCTTCAAGCCTTCAGACAGAGACTAATACACGGGACAGAAAATGTCAGCCAATTTTCGACGCACGGTACAAGGACATTACTTTATCCCTAACAATTTTAATTCATGATTTGAACTTCGATAAAAACAGAACCCTACTCCCGGTAATGAATTTATCTTTTGTTACAGATCTGAATCTTTTCGCTTTGAAGGTCAGCATTCTCTGATTGGCAAACTTACCTCGCCTTCTTTATTAAAACTATCCACTGCTGTGCAAATACCACATATTCGAGTTCAGCTAGAAAGTAGATCGTGAAAGATTTTCTTATGAATTATCGATTGGTTAATTTGCAAACTTCTTAACGTCAAATGTTTCCATTTCTGTTTATTTTTTCGCCTTTAGTTTTTCCGACTTATCAGTGCCCGTGGCCTTTACATCTGTGTTCATCTGTACACACATTTCTTCAGTTTAATTTTGAATGAGAAAAAAGCTTCGATACCGACGCACATCTTTGTTGGTTTTTTTGGAGGTCCTTCAGGGTTGGTATTCGACTCGAGAAGTTTTCTGTTGTTTAGGTCAAAATCCGTCGATTTTGGAACTATACTTTAAAGCAACAGTTTGCACTCAATAACTCACAGATCGCTTTGTGTACATTACGCTTTCTCTCCCTTCACTTGAAATCTAAATGAAAATTCGGTACGATTTGAAAATAAAGTGAGTTTCGGTTGCCTCGAAATGCTCATATGAGGGACGATTTTCATGTTCTTGTGAGGTATGATTTTTTTATTTCGCCCTAACAAAACCTTGAGAGCGAGTATTCAAATCAAATTGGTCTGTTCTTCTCAGATTATGTCGTGCGCACGGTTAAACGATGCACGAATTTGTTTTTTCGTTTCTGTGACATGGATCAGTGAAAAAAAACAATGAAAAAGAGTGTTTTCAATTACAGCTCAGTCGAATCTAACCACAAAGCCTAACAATTTCTAGCTTTAGCACTGTCCCTGCAAGTCAAGAACGTGACTAGACGCCTGTCCGACTTCAAGAAACACCTTCTAATATATCGCTCCGAGCGCTTCAAGGGCCGAGGACAAACAATCGAGACTTATTGCAAAGCCTTTTGCTAGAAAAGGCCGCATCATGGCTTTCCTTCCTTTTTTTCTTTTAACTTTTGAGAATCGTTATTTGCACGAGCCCGGGCAATCTTCATCCACGATTGTTGAAAGACATCAACATTATTATTACAAGACGAAGGTAACAGAAAATTCTTAATAACATCTCAATGATATCCAACAGCCATAGTTGAAATTGTTAGTTCAGCCGACAAGCGGCACCGTATGAGGCACTGTTTTGTGATGTTAGACAGTTTTTAATGAGTTTACACTCGAATGGATCTGGACAAAGATATCGATCCCTGTTAGCTAGGCGTCATGTCGTGCTTAATCTGTCCACCGCGTTTTCAAATTTCGATTTTAAAATCCAAGTTGTCAAATTTATTACTAATAAATCAAAGGGGATTGCAAATTGACCCAAACAGAGGTGGGGGATTGAGGATAGGGCCACAATCCAAGGTCACCGATGACCTGCCTCGGAACTATTTTCAGTTATTTTGCTCTTTCCCGAGGGTCGCAATGGGCAGATGGCTTTTACGGCTAACGGTTATATCATTCGATTGTTGTCACCAGAAATTTTTTTGCGGTTAACTTTTTTGACAAGTATCGATTGGCATTTGTCAATTTTTTTGCCTTACAGCTTTATTTTTTTTGTCGTTTAACGGCCATTGAGACACTCTTTCCCTATGTAAATACATCAAACGGAGTCTCAACCCTTTAACTTCCAGATCAAATTTGTAATTCTCCTTACTGTCATCCATACAATTCTTATAATATTAATTCAGAGAATTTAGTATTGGATCAACTAATTATCCCCAAATTGATATTTTTCACTTATCTGGTTGATATTGTATTGATATTGTAAAGAGAAATTCTGTCTTGGTCACTCATGGGAGTTAAAGGGTTAAAGTAAATTCCCTACACAGCGACTTTATTTTCTGATCTTTTAAATCAAGCATGGTCTTGAGCTCCAAGGATTCAGTAGTAAGGGTTTGTACTTAGCGTTGCATTATGGTGTTGACACGAAGAAGCAATTTAAGTCCCTTAATTACTTTGTGATCTTAGAAGTTAATTAAAACTCTTTCTGCAAGGGCAGAAAAATAACACAGGAATGTTTAGTGAGTAAACAAGGCTGCCGGTTATCGAAATGTTAAAAGATCAAAGTAAATTGAAATTGCTTCTTTGCATAAATGTACTGATTGTGCTTGAATTTTCAAATTTTGTATCAAATTTCTCATTTGGGAAAAACTAGGTCAGTTAAAAACGGTAGAAATTGTTATCTCATTCATCTTTATCTAAGCATTCCTTGTCTTGTGTGTTTTCAGTTTTGGGTCTGAAGTGCATGGTCTGCAGCAGTGTTGAGTCATGGGACAAATGCGAGGGAAAAAGTGTGACCTGCGGGGCTTCGGTGGCCGATCGATGTGTGAAACTCTACTATAAAGTCGGCTCAGTTGAAACGTTCGCTAAAGGGTGCGGATCCGAGGATTACTGTGATCAAAAAACCAACCCTACTTGTAAAGATGCCTCTGAATGTAAAATCAACTGCTGCACAGGCGACGACTGCAATGCTGGCGCAGCAACCCGCATCAGCGGTATTCTCTTGTTGTCATGCGCCTTGGCCTCTCTGATGATGTTTTTCAAAGCCTGAGACTTGACTGAGTTCGAGGCTGAGGTCCAGCACGGCTCATGATCAAGGCCTCAACTTACGTTACACGCTTTTTTGAAGTATGTCAGTTGTGAATTAGAATAGAACGTCTTGCTTAAGACATAGTAGTGGTCTATAGGAGGATCTTCGTGAGACGGAGACGAAGTCAGGTCGATTTTAACTTACAAGAGAGGATGCTAGTCCGTCATAGTCTGT